ATTCTTTTTATGAATAAAGTCACATTGTCTATTTTAGATAATATGATTTTGTAATTTTTTTTTTTTTTTAGAATCTATATATTGTTTTTTTTTATAACTCTAGGTAAATAATATCTTTTGATTTTTTTTTAATTATAATAATATTTTGATTATAATAAATATTTTTAAAAACTTTTTTATATCTGACTCATATTTGATTAGATGAGATTGATTTATAAGATTGATTTAGTTTAATTCATTATGCAATTGTCATATTCCAGTTTAAAAAATATGTACCGTTATGTCGTTTATCTTAATCTTTGAATTAAGCTGGATAAAAATTCTAAAATTAAAAATATATTTATATGAAAATTAGATTGATAGTCATCTGTACATTATTTTTTTAAATGTGAACTTTTAATATACTCACTTTTTTGGATCTTGGATTGAATCTTAAATTAGAATATTTATTCCGAAATTTATAAACATTAAATAAACTGCTATCTAACGATTTGTCATTAATTCATCGTTCACTCATTTAATATACACATTTAATACACACATGCTTTCTATCTCCATTCGTCTTATATCAATATTTGTGATAATCCTGACCTTTGTTAAATATTTTTTATATTTTGTAGTAAGAGTAACTGACCTTTGTTAAATATTTTTAACAAAGGTCAGTTACTCTTACTATAATTTTAATGCGTAATAAATTATCGCTTAAGCAATCACATCGAAGCAACAAGAGAATATCGATAAAAAAAGGAAGATAGAGAAAGGCTCGAGCATGAAATAGAGAAAAATGCAAGAATCGAACTGGGATAAAACTCGAGGAGCAAAATTCTTTGTTTGTTCATGCAAACGCGTATCTTATAGTTGAAGATATTTAAAATATTATAGTACAACATATATTTTAATAATTTGCGTGTTAATTGACTCGCGTTTACGTGTTTTTATTTTACGACTTAAGCTGCGAGAAAAATTACAGCTTTAATAGTAATAAATCTAGAGAACTGTCATCTGAGATTCATAAAAATACCTGCGTTACATCTGAGATATTATAATGATGTGCAGATAGCGTCCATTATATGCACATGTTCCGACGGATCAAATAAGGCTGCATTCGATTGCAGCAGTTTTTATTTAGATTGGCTAAAAATAAATGATTCGATCTTTTTGATTAAAAAGTTTTGTGGCCTAAGATTTATCTTGTGATTAAATAAATTATCAATTAATTTTATCTTCGATGAAAAAGGAGCAATTTGACATTTTATGATGTAAAATGTAGCTAATAGCTTCAAGAAACAACCCTTTCTTTCTTTCTCTATATACGTGAAAAATATGAAATATCACCAGCAAATAGAAATAATTTTGTTGCATTTGTGTACACCAAGAAGACGTTTATCCAGTCCATGGCTGGGTTAAAGATAGCCGGATGAGTCGCGAGCTTTCGTAATCGCTTCATTCCACTGGCGCGGATGTGCCGTATGTACCTTGCACCATCCCATCGTATATTCCGCTTTAACAAATGCATTCGCGTCGCTCCACATTCTGGATTTGCAACGAAGTATAGTGTACCCTGTTAAAAACCACCGACCAGTCGAAACGCTCTAGAGAACGAGCCTAACAACAGTTCCGCGCTAACTCTGGTTTCATGTTTTTCGTGCGGTTAGTAGAACCGGTCCAATTATATCATACCACTGTGCCAGGAACGGCCACGGCAACCCTCGTGCGCATGTTGTACGTGTGTATATATACGCGTGTGTATGTATGAATAATGTTGCGCACGCACATGCAGCTGGAGTGCACGCTTTGACATTCGGAGAGTTGCATCAGGCGCGGATTTAGTTGCTGATGTACCCCACCCAGATCTAATTTCTCGTGTAGAATCTTAATACGACAATGGAAAGCGAAGAGTTTAAGAATGACAAAATATCAAATTATATCTGCTAAATCATCAATTGGTATTTATTGATATATTATACGATTTAGATGGCAGAAATATTTTTCTAATGAATGATTACGGAATGTTTAAAAAAGAAAGAGTAACGGTATCGGTTACGCGCCAATGCATCAACTAACGAACCGGTGTATTTGCGCTCATTTTTGCTAATCACTTCGTAGTAACAAATGGCAATTATGATAAAGAAAGGTACAACCACTTTCTTCATTCAAAATCTACTCGAATGTACTAATGACTAAACTGGAAACTAAGTAGAAACTAATCTCTACACACAGTAATAAAGTTTATGACATTTGATTTGGTTTAATTTATTCGTTTTGATTGATTTGATTATTGATTATAATCAATATTACATACATATTATCTAATCCGAATAGGACTAAAATAAATTTAATAAAATGAAAAGCACAAGTGACATTGAAGCACATCTTGAAAATTTATTCACCCGCCTTTGAGACATTTCCTTGCTGAATATTACTAGCTAGCAGCTAGGTTGTTTTATCATCGGCAAACTAATTGTGTTAAGTGATGTGGGGTTCCTCCCCATCTTCCTTGTTTCCCGCAGGTTCGCTTGCGGGTGTGGGAGTCGGGGTTGGCGTAGCGGGGATGGGCGTCGGGTGCGGCAGCTCCAACCCCTTGGAATGGACGGGCCAGGTGACGGTGCGGAAGAAACGCAAACCTTACTCCAAGTTTCAAACTCTCGAGCTGGAGAAAGAGTTTCTCTTTAACGCTTATGTATCGAAACAGAAGCGATGGGAACTCGCGCGCAACTTAAATCTGACCGAACGCCAAGTCAAGATCTGGTTTCAAAATCGTCGGATGAAGAACAAGAAGAACAGCCAACGACAGTCTCAGCAGCAAAATAACAACAACAACAACAACAACAGCAGCAGCGCCAATAATGCGAATCACCATGCGGCGACCGGCAGTCATCACCATCCGAGCACCGCACACGCACCACCCTCGAGTCACCACGTGGTCGCGCAGGCGCATCACGCGAACGGCTCTACGAAGCATCATCAGTGACCCGTGGCCTTCTCTGGGGTCGTCTTCGGGCATCATCATCACAGTCATACCTCGTCCAGCAGCGGGGGCAGCCATAACAGCCTGGTAGCAGGTCATAGCCATAGCCTCCACGCACCGCAGTCCCAGACACCGCTGCCGCCAATTCACGTATCGTCGTCGGGCACTGTAACGCCTGCCACGGCCGTAGTCCATCCACACACACATACGCACGCACACTCCGGCAGCCATCATCATCAGCTGGCGCACGTGGCTCAACAGTATCCCGCTCTCCTCCATCAAACGCCTCACGGCTTGGCCGCCTGAATGCACTGAACGCCCCAGAGAAAATCCATCGAAATGCCTCGAATAAACTGAGGCGATACCGCTAAATCGTCGATCAATATCCATGTCCACGGGAATTCGATGAAAACTCATGGACTCTGTTGAGCAGCCGTTCAAAGACTGCTTCTATTAAGGAAAGATAAAAAGTTCGCGCGTAGTATATTATTATTAATTATTAATTATATTATTAATTATTAATTATATTATTATTATTATTATTATTCACAATCAAGCGAAAACTTCGCTATTGTATAGAAAGGGCGCGTTTGGGGCCATTATTTCAAGCGGCCCAAAGACTCTTTTCGAGTGTCGGTGTCGGGTGTCGGTATTTTACGAATAATACACGTCATCGGGCGACACCAAGCAATCTGTCCAATTCGTAATTCGGTAGTATTTT